AAAATTGGTAGATTTTTGTAATGAGTTTGCCGAAACTTTTGTTTCAATTAATTGGATCAAATATTTTTATCATATTAGTTATTTTTCAACTAACTATCAAATAAAATTTTAAAATTCACTCATTAGTTATCAACTAGTTTTACTGAAAATACAGAATGCTAGCTAAAATATTTCAATAGTGATCAACTAGTTTGTATAAAAAACAGGGCATCAAAATAAGTTAGCTTTTTTTTTTTTCCCAACGACATAATCTATCTCATTAAAAAAGTCAAATGGCAATGTATAAAGACAGGCCTGGAACCCGGGAATGGGAGGTTGTGGGAGGTTACAACTGCACCGATGCAACCTAGACGAACAACTAGCAACACTAGAATGACAACCACACAACGACACTAAACCAAACTACAAACCACACCAGAAAACAATATAAAACACTCCCAAACTACAAACCACACCAGAAAACAATATAAAACACTCCCAACAGGAGAATACTCGAGTGTGATCCCAATAGGATAATAAAGTTACACTCGGGTCAACCAGGGCCAACGGCCCAAACCTAAAACACGCGAACAAACACAAAACAAACAACAACAGCAACAAAACAACAATAACACACGAAGAAACAAAAACTAAACATAAACACATAACGAAGCCCTCCCCTAGTGAAACAAAACGAGCCCAGCCAATAGTGAACTATAGACACAAGAAAGATACCGAGCACGAGCAATCGCTACTGAAACTGCAGAACGCATAGCAGTAGGTAAAACCAAACCCCGTACCAATCCCGAATCGACCCGTCGCAAGCCGAGAAAGCCACGCCTAACCCCCACACCCCACACTGGCTCTGCCCGCCCTCATCAGACGCCACTAAACAAGGTCGATAGAGCCCGACCCCACGCCATCTAACACCACTAGATAGACGGGGAAAGAGGTGAAAGTGAACGGACACTCAACCCAGACCGCCACAACGGACCTGCCGCAGCCACCTGAGTCCCACCCTGCCTATTGACACGCACTCCAACCAACACCACCACGAACCTCCAAGACCAGAAAACCGAGACCCACCAAAGAGGCGGAGCTCCACCCAAAAGCAGAGCATATCGATCGAAGACAAGGAGAGTCGAGGGACTTACCACCACCAGATAGNNNTTTTTTTTTTTTCGCGAAGGGGTATACTCAAAATAAGCTAGCTAAAAAACAGAAAACTAGCTAAAATATTTCAACAGTGATCAGCTAGTTTGTATAAAACAGAGAGAATCAAAATAAGCTATCTAAAATATTTCAACAATGATCAGCGAGTTTTACAAACGTAGTCGTAACTAATTTTACCAAATATAACCTAAAACCAAAACATCAAAATAAGCTATCAAAAATCAAAGGTAACCGGAATATTATACAGTTCGCCGGCCCGCGCATGACGACATACAAAATCCCCGCACATGACAACCTGTCAAACTTAAAATCCCCGCAGCTACTTGCACGGTAAAACAAAAGACGGTGCTCAAAAAGACCAGCCGGCTTCTACAAGCCATACCAAACAATCTTTACCAAAGCCTCATTATCCCCTTTTTACCCACTCATAACTTCCTTAAACCAACAACAAACAACTGTTAACTACGTTAGACAAACTTCTTGATCACACACTATAATCAAAATCACGAGCCACCATTGAAACCCGTTGCAGACACGGACCGCCGTGCGAATTCCAACAGCAACTTCCTCTGCTGCTCACTCGTATGAGGAAGGCACGCCCTCAACAGTTCGACCGGAATTTCTTTACCAATCGCATTACCCAAATCACCACCATTAACCGCGCCTTGTGACTGCTGGAACGACTGCACGAACGTGTCGTACTTGCTGAAACAGTATTTCGTCAGCAGCTCGAAAAACGCATCGAACGAGACCTGCCAGAACGCTCTGTGGTGGTCGGAGCAGTTTTCTGCCGCGCGAGGGCCCGTCAGAAGCTCGGTGGCCCTGTCGAGCACGGATTTCAAAACCAACGAAGCCCCATCACCCGAGGAGTGCCCGACCGGGCGGAGAGGAGGGTGGTGCTCAGACGAACAAACTACAGACGCAAGGCACGCGGCCAGGGGTTTCAGTTCCGTACGGTGCATGCAATTCGAGACGGCCTCTGCAAGGTTTCGGGTTATTACCATTGATATTTCACAATGTGCGGTGGTTTTTTCAAATAAGAACCTCAGATTACGGCACACGGTCATGCAAACGACTCGGGCGAGCTCGCCCGGATTCAGAAGCTCGAGATATCTCGCGAGGAGCTTTTTCCCCTTCGGGAGAGAGACCAGACTTAAAAAGACAAAATCGTCCCTGCTGCGTGCTAAACTCACGGTGTGCCCGGTTGTGGCTAACGAGTCGACCAGCTGAAAGGATGAAGAAGCTACAGCTTCTAGAAGGACCTGTCTCCTCTGCCTCAACTGGGCCCCACCATCCGGAAGCTCATTGAACTGTAGAAATCGGTCGATATCATCCACGTCGAGCAGGAGGGATATCCCGTCCTCGATGGCTGCCCTGGCCGCCAGCATCGGCACTTGTATTAAGGGCTTATCGGGAATTTTCGACTCGGGATTATTAGGTGAATTGGAGGAATTTTCGATTTCGAGCAGCGGTCGAGGCCTGCGAATGGAGGAGAAGGAGACCCGTCCGAGAGCATCGACTTGGAGGAAAGGGTGGGGTTCGTTGTTTGGGTGAGGTTTCGAAGAATCTTCTTCTCTCAAATTACTTGGACAGAATTGGTTTCTCGATTTGGCACCGGCTGTTTTTCTAGCCAGAATGGCCTGATGGTAATAGTCCTCGACGTAGGGGTCGTTGCTGTGGGTAGCCAGTAGCTGCATCCTGTGCATATTTTCAATCTCGCCTGCTGACATGTATTTCGACTTGAACCTTGGTGGGCCGTGAGGGCCGCGATGGGGATAACGAAGAGCAGGATGGCTACTCCGCTGGAGTAACTGGGCCTGCAAATGGGCAATGGGCGGATGAACTCGAAGTGGGATTACGGTTTGCTGAGATGGCATCACCTGCGGGAAACTGTTCTGACCGGGAAAATTGTTCGGGAAGTTAAGATGATTTCCTGGAGATAATAAGCTAGTTTGGTTTGCCCGTTGGTTTTGGTGTTGACCGTTATGAAGTGGGAGACCTCGAGGTAACTGAGTCAAATTGGATATAGAAGAAATAGTGGGCCCCACAAATTTGGGGTGATGGGGAATATTAGACAGTCCACTGGGTGAGGCTTGCTGGGATCTTCCTCCAGGAAGTGGGTACGAAATGAAGGGCGAATTGGGAATAAGAATCGGTTTGGTTGAATGGCGGTGTTGTAGTTTTTGCTGCTCTTGTTGAGGGTATGAAGATGTCCTATGCAACAAACCGGGTTCCACAAAGTGGTGCATGGAATATGGATGTGAGGACCAGTTTTTGCTATCGTGAAGTGTTTCAGCATCGAAAGCACGCTGATCTGACCAATTACCGAGATGCAGGTCTTGTGCCAGCTCAGAGGCAGACGAACCTGCAGCAAAATAGCACCATAAGCGAAATGGCAATCTTTAGAAACCAGTTAAACTGCAACTTTAAATAACAAGCTCGACAAACCAGAGCTTAGCAGTAAATGATATCATCAAGCCATAACAGTGTCATCTGATTTCAATTTACTCACTTTCTCTGGATCCACAGTCTTTACTAACTCCTGCACTAGTTGGCCTACTGTCAACTTCGTTCAACTGCATAAGGAAAATACTAAGGGCATGAGATAACAGTAATTTGACTCTTCGGTTACTATTATAATCAATGTGAGATACAATAACAAAGCAGAATAAGCTCAAGTATTGAAACAAGGGGAAAGAGTTAAACAATGACCAATCTAATGTCACGATATGCAGATAAGATACATATTTGCAACTAATTTACCATCACGTCATCATGTTCCAATAATAACATTTTATGGATGCAATGCCACTGGTACACGATTTCAAAATATGAACCTCAAAATGTTGCAATGTGAGATACAGTAACAAAGCAGAATAAGCTCAAGTATTGAAACAAGGGGAAAGAGTTGAACAATGACCAATCTAATGTCATGATATGCAGATAAGATACCTATGTGCAACTAATTTACCATCATGTCATCATGTTCCAATAATAACATTTTATGGATGCAATTCCACTGGTACACGATTTCAAAATATGAACGCAAAATGTCTACAACAGGCATTCTTTTATAAAGATAATATACGGTAGTAGAAAGCAAGAAGTCGGTCCTTGGTAAATTATCACACTGCAGAAACAAAAATTGGTAGAAAGGAAGTAAGGAGGGTTTAATTTAGGTTTTCAATGGTTTTTAGTCTATTTTAGTCAATTAGTCGATGGAGACTAACTATATAAAGCTTCCACATGGATGTACAAAATATCAAGTTAACATGTAAAACAAACTTCTACTTAATGGGGCTGGCAATAATTTCAGTGCAAGTCAAGTCTCACCTTAGAAAATGTACTTGAAAGGTCATCAATTTCAGATAGAGATCCCAACCCATCTTCCTACAATGAGAAATGATCGTCACGAATCATTTTTGTTTTTTTAATATTCATCATAGTATAGACGAATAATGGAGCAATAATGATTCACCGGACTCCTCCATGATTCTTTAGGCCACTCTCAAAAAAATATGACAATACATTTTCAATAAATGACACACAATACACTACAGCAAGGCAGTATCTCAATGCTGCTTGCAGATATGCTGAAAAGGAGGGAAGTGAGGATCATCTGGCATTCTAACAGAAAAATCAAACGAGCGCTTTAGTGATGTTTTGGAGCCCTACATAAAAAATAAAAAAAAAATAAAAATGTAACCAGAAACCTAAGATCCAGAATGTGAGTTAAATACGATAAGTCATAGAATTCTCTTCATAGACATTGTTCTGTGAAGGTCTCACTTACCTAACCTCAATTTCATTTAACATAGAACCCACAGACCAATGAAAAATCTAACAAATTTCCAGAGAATAACTAAGGTAACTAGAGGTAATCAGACCGAATTTTAAAATAAGCAACATATGAAACACAAAATGAATACTAGTAAGAAGGTTTATGTGATAACACAGACTGATGTAAAAGTGTGCTTTTAACTAGTCATAAGGTAATACTCAACTACAATAATATCAATGTGTAATTAACAGTGCATGTGTACATCTAAACCGGGGAAACTCATGTTACTACAGTAAAAATAGTCAAAATGATGTCTGAATTCAGACAAGATTATAGTGCAGCACCAGACATTTCAAGGAAACAGTTTGCCTCTTTATTTCGTACATTCTTGACTTCCTAGTGCTGCTAGATCCACCAGACACAACTTTAATGAAATAGCAAAAGTAGATCCGACTAGAACTCAAATTTCTATATCAAAACCAATCATTTGAAAAGAGACAAAAATAGCCGCATCACATATCAGATATGGGCTACGAAAAGTCAATAATTCACATAGCTAGTTTGCTAAGTTGTGTTACAAATAAACATATAAGGCATCAACACCAACACAAGAGAGAGAAGGATGAATATCCAAATTGAGAAAGTGAGAAGGCCGGCACCTACATCGAGTATACTGAAACAAGGCAAATGCATGGTTATATATTGATGTTCCTGTTTAAAAAAAATGCAGTCAACCCAATCAAATAAAAGATGACTTATGGACTAATGAGGCTAACAATACGTGCAGAGAGGAGCAAGCAATACAGGGGTGCAAAAACTTTGGGGACATCAGTCCCACAATTTCACATGTATGGTCCTATGGACAGGTAACTATCACATGTATTGAAATTCCTAAGACATGAAGCAAGACGAAGAAAAAATCACACGAAAAAGAGAATAAAGCTTTTCAATCCAAAGCAGCAACCTCTTCCTTGTCGAACTGAAACTCTTCTTCCTCGAAGCCAGCAGGGGCAAGATCGTCCTCACCGTCTTCTAACCCCCCTAACTCAACTTCCTCCAGCACATTGCCACCGAAAAATTCATATTGTGAAGCGTCAAATAGTGCATCCCCTGGACCACATAAAAAGTCAAACGATGAACTCAAGACCCGCTAGACAAACCATTCCAGTCATGCTGTGTGAACAATTTCGTATACGCCATACAGACAGGAAAAGCATTAGGTAGCTAATAAGAGTATAAGTGGTAAACACTATGAGCCGGTATAGTCCCATATTTAGTAGTCCACTACAGAAATGCAAACAGACCCATTTTAAGTGAGACGGTATACCAAATATAAACCCCATGACAAATTTCTGAGAGCAGCATTTCGCATCATACATGGAAAAAACTATAGCAAAGCAGACAGCTAAAGAACACTGCAACTTCCTAAACCCAATGGATCTTCTGAAACTCGGAAAAGAAAATATGTAACAAGTCCATAAATGATAAGCAAACAGATCAACGAGCAACCAAATTCGAAATTAGAACGTGCATTTGAAAATCTAAAGAAGACAGCCATGGCCAAACCTGTAGGATTTGCGCCGACTGGTATGAAACCCTGAAGCTTGGAAGAAGCTCCACTACTGCCTTCACCTCCATAACCATCCATTTCGAATTTTGTTGCTATAAATAGACTAAAATTTAAAAGGAACAAAAAAATAATCATATCACTCACTTGAAAACTAAAGCCTATCAGTTTATTCTTCTGCCATAGCACCTCTAAAACACCCAGATTACTCCATTAACCCCATGAACTGAAAATAAACGAGAGAGAAGAAAAACTGAATCAAAACCTTCGAAATCAATATGAAGCAATCAGAAACCAGAGAAACAATCCCTGAAACCTCTTCCACCGGTCCTTGATCAATGATGATAACGACTAATTTCTTCTGTAAACCCTAGCAAAGAGAAGGTGAAGAGATGGAGCTGAAGTGAAGACAAAAACTGGAAGCGCAGCACGTCCAATGGTGTGAGCGAGCACATTTGCCATTTTGTGGGTTAAAAACAGGATACGAAACAAAAGTTGCAGATGAAAAAAGCTTTTTTGTAATGTAAATTCGGGTAAATAGTTTGTACTCTTTGTGCATTTATAATATTTATTTAATATTTACTTTTATAAGTTCGTAAGGCTGAAGACGAAGGAGCTCACGAGCGCTAGAGTCAATGCTGGACTCGTTTAAGTTTGGCCAAATTTGAGCTTCAGACCAATTGCACTTGCATATATGTTACAACTACAATTCAATAAAAATCTAAAAGGAAAATACTAAGGGAGCAATTTGATATAGGAGTAGAAATTATTTGGTTTTGATTACCCTTTAACTCAAAATCAACTGAATTTTATCCATTAACTTTTACTAATATTATCAATATAATCAAATAATGTCAATCAATTATCATAAGGAGTATATAACTTTTGCATTCAAGAAAATCGTTCGTACTTTTTTTTTTTATGTTTTTCAAAACTTGGAATCCTCGAGTGAAAAAAATTGAGCCTAAACCAAAACACAAGTCGAACCACGTAGTTTACATCAATTTTACAGAATAAAACGGTTCAGTTTTAGTTCACTTTTTTTCACATTGTGGTGCAGTGCTTAGTTTTTCTTATAGGTTCGATTTTTATGATTCATTTATAATAGATTTCTCAAGGTTTTAAGTCAAGTTATTTAATTTTTCAACTATATTATAGCTTTAATATATATGTGTGTGTGTAGCAAAAACAATGTAAAAATTGAAATGATAGTAGTATGGTATATTGGTTTATGTAAATCATCAAATTCTTATAAATGAATGAGCTTATCATATATTTTAAAACAATGAAGTTCACTATGCAATGAATGAACACTTGCTATCTTAAAATAATTTTGGGAAGAAACATTGGATGCATGTAGGTTTTGGGGGAGAGAATTAATTAATTTAGTGTGCTATCTTATTCAAGTGTTAATGCAAAATCAATCATCATGTATAACTGAGTGGGGAAGGTCGTTTTAGGGAAATTTAAATATATAGATTCTCTATAATCTATAGTAATATAAAGAAGTTGTTGGAAAAATACAAAAATAGTATGTTTGTCTTAAAAAATAAAGTTTTGACTTATTACTTTAAATAATAATTACTACGTTAAGTAATGACCATGTAGGTCCCACACATTAAATTAATTAGCATAAAATTATGGAATAGATTTAATCACGTAATTAATCATTAAATCTCCTAGCATTTCGATTTTTGTTTACAAAATTTTAATCGGATTTTTTTAGATCTGTTCTTTCACAAATTTCATAACTAACACAAATATCCACAATAATTGAATCACGATTCTATTCTTGTTACAAAATTTTATTTTTAACAAACTCCTTACCAAACTCCTTTTTTTTTGGATAATTTGATAGGATATTGACAAGTCATATTTTTTTTGGTAACTAATTTGATCCTTTTTCTATTTACTAACTAAATCTTGTGAATCTCTTTGAATTTACAGATTTTTAGGTTCGAAAATTGAAATCATTGATATCCCATAAAATTTGGAAACGATTTAAATTTGAAATATGTGAGAATTACACATAATACACATATTAAAAACATATTTTTGGTAAATCTACAAATTTGGTTATTCAAAAATTAAAAAATGTGAGATTTGAACATGAATAATCAAATGTAGTTAACTAAATTATTTGATTTTTGTACTACAAGTATATTAAAACGTATTTTTCTACTACAAATAATCAAATTTTTGGTAGAACAAAATCAATTGATATCCCACCAAAAATTTTGGTCAATCAAAAATCAAACTGAAAATTAAATAATTTTGATAAATCAAAATCAAATAATTTAGAAAGCATTTAACAATAGATGTTCAAATAATTAGTGGGTATTAATTGAATTTGGTATCTTTTTTTTTGAAAAGAAAAAATAAAATTTATAAATATATAATAGGAATATAAATTTACTTAAAAAAGGAACTAAAATCTCACCAAAAAATGTCATTCTTACTATTATTCATATATTTTTTTGATTTTTTTAATGGGCGGTGAGCTTTCAATTTGAAATTCAAATTATGAAAACATGCGATAAATATTGAAAACATCTAATTTTATGTTCACGGCTTGATATATATTCAAATTCAAACGCAAATTAGCTATAAAATCAATCATAAGATATTCATAGATAATTATTTCACAATTTTTTGGATTGTTTGGAGTTACATATTGCTGAAAAAATCTCGAGATTTGTTAAATGATACATATCAAAATAAAAATATTCTTTTCAATTAATCCAAAAAGCCTTATCAAATTAAACTTTAACAAACTCTATTAATTTTGGTAAACATTAAGTCATATTGATATGACCCATAATATTCAAAATAAAAGATTAATTGTTGACTTACTAATATAATCATTATCAATGGGTCCCACACGTCAACCAATTTAATTGGATTTTGGTAACAATTTTGATCAAATTTTGATAATAAATCTCGGATTTTGGTAACAAATTTGATCTAATTGTGAGAACGAATCTCAGATTGTGATAACAAATCTCGGATTTTGATAACGAATCTTTTAATATATCCTCTTTTTGAAGACAAATAGTTATATACACAATATATTGCCGATAATATTTAGAATTTCTTTTGGTAACAAATTTCACATTTTTTTTTATTACTTGGAGTTAATTATTGGAGAAAAAAATCTCGATATTTGATAAAAGATTCATATCAAAATAAATATATATTTTTCAATCAATCCAAGAAGTCTTCCCAAATTAAATTGTAACAAACTTCATTAATTTTGGTAAACTTTATGTAACATTGATATGACACATAATCTTCGAAATAAAAAAAATTAATTATTGACTCACTAATATAAGCAATATCAATGGGCCCCACATGTCAACCAATTTAATCAAATTTTGGTAACAAATTTGATCTTATTTTGATAACATATCTCGGATTTTCTTAACAAATTTGATCTGATTGTGATAATAAATCTTGAATTGTGATAACAAATCTCGGATTTTGATAACAAATTTTTTAAAATAACGGCTTTCTTTGTAACACACTATATAGTTATTACATACAATATATTGTCGATAATCTTTGAGATTTCTTTTGGTAAACATGTTTCACATTTTTTTCGGATAGATTAGAGTTAAATATTGCAGAAAAATCTCTCGAGATTTGATAAATGATACATATCAAAATAAAAGCATTATTTTTTAATCAATCCAAAAGGCATTACCAAATTAACTTGTAACAAGCTCCATTAATTTTGGTAAACATTATGTCACATTGATATGTCACATAATCTTCAAAATAAAAGATTAATTGTTGACTTACTAATATAAGCTTTATCAACGGGTCCCCATGTCAACCAATTTAATCGGATTTTGGTAACAAATTTGATCTTATTTTGATAACAAATCTTGAATTTTGTTAACAAATTTGATCTGATTGTAATAACAAATCTCGGATTTTGAAAACAAATATTTTATTATATTGTTTTTTTTTGTAACTCACTTCATAGTTATTTACACACAATATATTGTCGATAATCTTTTGGATTTCTTTTGGTAACAAATTTCACAATTTTTTCGGATTGTTTTGAGTTAAATATTGCAGAAAAAATCTACAGATTTGATAAATGATGCATATAAAAATAAAAATACTATTTTTCAATCAATCCAAAAAGTCTTACCAAATTAAATTGTAACATACTCAATTAACTTTAGTAAACATTATGTCACATTGATATGACACATAATCTTCAAAATAAAAAATTAGTTATTGAGTTGCTAATATAAGCATATATCAATGTGCCCCACATGTCAACCAATTTAATCGATTTTTTTTTTTTCAACGATAATGCATTAAATAAAACTCAAAGGTTGCAGTACATCGAGTAACCTACTGATTACAATTAATACCAACTAACATAAGTTGGTAATCGAGCAAAGATAACTACCTCCACTCCCTAGCAATGACCCAACAAATAAAGAAACTAATCACCTACAAATACACAAAAATCGAATTTGCTACAATAATCATATAAAATCTGGAAGTCCACCATACAGTTTGACTCAATGATTCTCCTTTGATTAAACGCATCTGCCCACACTGAATTTCTGATTTTGCATTGGACCCTGTCCCAGCCTTCCTTCACAGCTAAGCCCAGTAACCATTACCAATGTCTTATAACATTTTGTTAGAGTAGTATACCCAGAGTTCCAATTTGATTGGACGTATTCTACTTGTAAATACGATCTATTGGAATTATATTGTTAATAAGGCATTTCTTTATCTTAAGAGTAAGCATTTATCCTATAATTGCATTTAAGATAAAATCCCTAGATCACTTATGGTTATACGATATGGTTGCGCATAGAGATGGTAATCATGGAACATATCTTGAAAGCCGTGATCTTAAATATAGTTCCACGATGGATGTTTCGAAAAGGGATATCGAATAATCCATAAAAGACTTGCACATAGTA